CCCATTTTCCAATCCCTACTCCCCATTGGCTACGCCCTGCTCTCCCCTCCCCACCCGTGTGGCCTGTTACAACCGCAAGTTCAAACGCTCAGTGTGACAGCTGGTTGATGTGTGGGGCGGTCGAATGTGACGAAAAATAATGATAACGAAGTCGCATGAATTGAAAGGCAAACATGTGGTGTGTATGGTGAACATTCTACCTGCACATGACAAAACCAAACTTTCCGACTCCATTTATGGCAGAGGTCAGAGTTTACGCCTTTTCTCACCTCACAAATGATGAAATAATGTGTTTACTTCCGAATTGTGATTGCTATTGTCAAAATGGTTTGGTGTAGCTTTTTTACTGCCCACATAAAGCGTTGCATCAAATGACTGGCCTTTTCTTTTCACCAAAGCATGCATCAAATTTGTCTTAAGCCCACCAAACAATCAGCCTTTGAAGAAGCAATTTGATTGCGTTTTTAACTGGTCCTCTCCTCTTCATTATCGACTAGAAGCCGCTCGACTGTTAGAGCGCTTGTATTTGTTTTAACAAGGTTGGAAACGGCATTGTGAAGACCATTCCAAAATGAGCGCAGTGTCACTTCCACAAAGTTAACACCACCATGAGAGCCCAAGGAATAGCAGGTCCATTCCACTCCACCAGACTCACCAAGGCTCCCACTCGAGGATGACAGGCAATATTTAGAGAGCGGAGGGCTTCAGCCCACTCCAACTAAGTAGTGGAGTAAGTTATAATTATACGCCCTACCGGAAAATGATTGTTATTTAAAAACTCAACGAAGTAACTAACCTATTCTGTCCTGGAATTTGTAGATCTAGTTGAGGAAATGGACGCGTAAGACAGATCCTGATTGCATTGACCGGACCTACCATTTGCCCATGATGGAAAGCATCGGTGAGATTTCTAAACCGGACATCACCTCGTCCCCACAAGTTGAGGCCTGCTGTGCGTGTTGATGCTCACTTTGAATTCTTTGCTTCAGGTCTCAACAACACAAGATGCCCACCATCCACGCGAAGGTTTCTAGGGTTGGATGAGAAATAGAGAGTTTTAAACTCATCTGCATCCACCCTTTTGCCCTCTTGATGATTCTCCAGACCCCATGCCATACTCATCACCACTTGTAGATAACCGGGAGGGAGATGGAGAGAGAGAGGGAAGTGGTTAGAACTGCGTGTTTTCTTCACAGGCTCCTCGTGTCTGGTTAGGAGAGAGTTGCAGACTATAATGCTGATTACTTTTACAAATTTCCTTTTTAAAAGCAGTTTGAAGTATCAAATATTTGCATAAAAATCCGGCACAACTTACACATGTCTTCAAAGTGCCCTTCAAGATGCCTCATCACGCAAGTAATCAGAGGAGGTAGTGACTCCAGGTAGATGCCTTCATTGGAGGGCTTCAAATACTTCTTACTTTCGTACAGAAAATGAACTTGTAGACCCAAATGGCAAAACAATAAGGCTAAAGGAAATTGTTTTGCTGTGGGCGACTATTGTATACCTATTAGGTAGCAGTAAAATTGCTTGCCGGATATTTGTGCCTTCGAATTCATCCACATTGCCTCAGTCCATCTATTCGTCCATGCATCCAGCCGACCAAGATTTCTCTCCTGAATGGTCGACTCATCCACCTCGGGATCATTCATTCATTCAAATCATTCAATCATTTACTCTTTTATTACATCCTCATCGTTCAGCCGCGATTTGTGGGCTTCTCGGATCCTTCTTTCCGCCAGGTCCTTCAACGCATTAACAAAGAATGACCTAGAGTTGGGAGTCTACCACCCTTCACTCGAACCTCCTGTTGTCTCATGTCCAGAGTGTAGTTAGGTAGAATGTTGGCGAATTTTTTGTCTAGAACCGATGGCTCGTTGGAATTGGCCACTGCTATGCGCATTTTATTTTCCGAAAGGCCTGTCAAAGATGGTGGTGAGTACTTTGACTGACCCTTGCCACCTTTTCGGCCTTCATATTAACACTCGGATTTTAAAAATGGAAATTCTCTTTAAAATGGTTTTTGTAGGGCAAAAACTGTTGGGTCTTTACCCCCTTACTTGCACATGAACCAAATCTTGCATTAATGTAGGCTTTAAACCCTAATTTGTCTCACTGTTCTGCCCAAAAAGAGGATTACTTGAAATTAAATGCATGTGTTTTGCTTCACACCGACTCTCGCTGGTGATATAAGAAAAGAAGGATGGGAACAGATGGCCGCGGTATCATGTGAACAAGGAAAAGTAATTGTACGACAACGGCATTGGGAAGCTTGACTGAAGTCACCGTCAATTTGGAGGCTATTCCTCACCTTGCGAAACCACACATCTGTCTCAGCCATGTGCTGATCCGAGAGAGGGTGAAGGGACCGGTCGGATTTAATACCCTATTCGGGTTTTAATGGGACACAGCTGCAACCACCCAAATGCTACAACTTTCATGGGTTTTCTGCTAGCAGAGTAAACTGTTAACAGTGGGGCAAATGAAGCTTTGTTGGTTGATTGTAGTGTAAGTGGCGTCCAAATTGGCAACCTTAGTAACGGCAACTACGAGTGCGACACAAATGGAATGAAGGGTTGGGCTCCCGTTGTTATTGCCTCAGTGGTTCATCAAGTTCAGTTAACTAGAGTTTTTGTATCAGTTTTAGTTGGATCCTCCCATTCGTTTGATGAGCTGGAAGGGCTTTCAATTTCCCTGCTGTAAAATTGAGGAGCGCTTTGGACGACTAAGCGATGGTAGTAAATACCAAGATCGTTGTTCATGCACGAGGATGGAGACAGATTAAAGTGCTGTTTGTTGCATCTTGGAGGGTACGTCGAGCCAATGGAGGCGTTTGCGAGTTCGTGCACTGAAAGACTCGCACACCTGAGGTGCGGTGAGATGTGGATGGCCATTTGATCCAACGATGCCTCTGATGCGAAGGGCCGTTTGCAACATGGGGTGAAGGAGGGGAAGGAAACTGTTGAGGCGATAGGAGAAGGTAAGAGGAAGAAATCGTTGATGCTTGCACCTTCTACTTGGTAATATGTACTCGACACCGACTACATCGAGTCGGTGATGAAAATAGATGCCGAATAGGTCAGAGGCCTTCAATGCCGCGGAGTATGGCGTGTGCGAATGTTCTTGATGGTTGGACTTCCAGAGTTTTACCACCAATCTCACGTATTTCTCTCCTTCTCAATGCCCTTGTCCTCACTATAGCTGTGAGTACGTATAAAGCTTACCTCCTCCTTGTCATATTGATCACTGAGTTGAGTTTTAAAATATTCGGCTATTCAAATTTAAAAAACAATCTTTTGAAGGATCAAAGATATGATGACAAGTTCACTAAACAGGGAAATCATTTAATGTTTCACAGTCCTGGTAGAGGAAGGTAGGAAAACAGGAGAGTCGAGTGTGTCCAGGCAGAGAAGGGATCATATACGTTTAGACACCTCTTACTAGCTGAACGTCTTCACTTGTTACGCTTAATCCTGATTGTGAGGGAGAGGGGAAGGTCCACCACCGATCAGGTCACAGGCAATTCTAGGGCTCACTCATTGATATCTCTCGGTGTAAAGAACGCTTTCGATTCATCTGAAGGCATTTTCAAGTCAATCTCCTTGCAGTAATCGAGACTTATATTGCTTCCTTACGAATACGCTTGCATATGTTAAGTCACCTTTCTGGCCTTGTCAAGTAGTGTCCTGGAAAAGCAAAAGGCATGTCAGAACAAAATTTTAGGAAGTCTAAATGCGATTAGCCCTGGCGGTGCATTCGTATTTCTGTATTTGAAAAAAACGGCCTTTGAAAGAGTTGTTTCCATTTGGGATTAAAGTTTTTCCAGATTTAATACATTTTAGGGACTCCTTTCAGTTGCATTTCTTACTATATCTTGCCATCTTAACCAGTTCCTCCTTGTTACTTTCCTTCCATCACACACTCCTTGCTTGCCTCTAAGTGTACTAAGTAGGCTATCGGCTTTCAACTGAAGGTACTATCTAATTGAGAGGTTGATTACCACGGCTGCAGTAGGTAGACCTCAGTCGTCGCCGTTTTCGAACCTTCAGGAAGTGGACGCTTACACCTCTAGTCCACTACACCCAGACAAAGCAAGCAGGCAGTTAGGTGAGGCTGCAGTAATGTGTGCCTTAGAAGAATGAACCATTCCACTTATTTGCCTAAAGCTGAACTGCGACAGACATTTTTTCACCACATATACGCAAGCCAGTCTGCGAGAAATGCAAAATAAATGCGAGAGAAAGAGGCGGTGAATAAAGCGACAGCAGTATACACTTCTTCATTCCACCTGAGGGTCCTTCCAGACGTGCTGTTAGTGTTTCACCACCAGAAACGGCCTTAAAGAGGTTCGTAAATTCGACAAGATTGGATCCTATTTATCAGATTGGACCGAAATTTTAGAAGATGAAGGCGCGTTGTAAGAGGGCAGACACTGCATTGTTTTATCTGGTAGACCAGAGAAAACTCGCATGCATCAAGACAATCAAGGAGACTTTTCATTTCTTGAGAAGCCATAGCAAGTCAGTATGGTAGGATACTTCGGACATTTTCCCTACTTATTCTTGTCCATCAGACAAAAAAGGGCTTCTGTAGAAATGTCACACTAAACCGCTCAACTTGGGACAAAGTAAAATATTCGTTGGTCAGCGAATCGAACTTTTATGAAAAGTGCTTCTTGGCTCGTCTAGAATCAATATCATTTTATACATTCTACTTTATAATAAAAAGTAAGAGTAAATTTTTGCAATTCATATTAAAGTAGAGTGCAGGTTTTTGGATTCAAACTGTCAAATCGAAATTATTTTTTGCCATTTTTGGAAATAAGACCTCCAGCTAAACCAGACTTACCCAATCATTTAGGATTTAATGTGAATTTAAACAAATGGATGTCATTTTTTGACAGTTTTTTTGCCATTAAGGGAAACGGCACTTGGGACGTCTGAACTGCTGATATACCGCTGCGAAAGCCCAAGCCTTGACCGTTTCTTAAAAATTATTGTATATTAAAAGTGTTTTTAGGATTCGGAAGATCGCAGTAGGTCATGGGCAGGGCTCATAGACAAATGCTACATGCGGGGAAACAGACCACCCACAAATGGGTTTAAATGGGCAAATGGGAATATAAACGTCGATGGGTTGTAACTAAGCCTTAGGAAATTAAAAATGAACTGGATATTTGTAACAGCGACTGTGCTTATGGTAGTCGCAATGCTCGATGGGAAGGAGCTGAGAAGCGAAAGTGAACAGCTGGATGAGATTAAGATCAGCGGAGATTGCTCTCGCTTGGGCGCCAAGGATCTTTGTCAATCAAAGTAAGTTCTAATTAGCCGATTTCAAAAGCATGATTTTAAGTCAGTAATAAGGTTTTTCTAAAAATTATTTGGTCTGTTAATCTTTCATTATCCTCCATTGCGGTAAGTTGTTCTGTCCTTGGGAGGACGAATTTGATTGGTTCATAGAGGGTCATAAATGGGCTTTCAAATCTACGCAAGATGCATAGACAGTTGGCAATAGATTTATACATTTTTTAAAAGCTAAAAAGACTCCAGATTTATGATAAAGTCGTTGAAGTATCTTGATTTTTGGTGACAAATTTTTGGCGTCAGTTACTATACTCTGCAACGAGTAGTTTGATTGGATCAGCTCGAGATCGCCTTTTAATTAAGTGATTCAAGTAGTTCATGTATATAATAGGCAAGAGATGGTTAAACTGCGCACCTTATAAGAAGAATCGAGTTTTCTAAACGAGCTTTTTGAGAATTATGATCAGTCTTGAGGACTAAAATCTGGTTGGGCAAGTTTGGGGCCAGAAAATAAAATGATTTATTGTGGTATCTTCGCGTAGCCTTGAAGACGAAATAAGGCATGCCGAGATGAAAGAAGCTCAATGAGCAATACACAAGCAGAAAATGAAGCTTACAGAAGTGACCCAGCACAGGCGGGTATATGAAGTGTCTGTGAAGTTTCTTC